CAACTGCTCCTACGACTCCTTATCCAACGTGGGAAGTGCTCGTCAAAGTACTTTAGTCAACTTCACAGTCAATACCAGTGGGTCTTCGTCTATTCCCAGTTTCGTGCTCCGGAACTACTGCATCGCAAGCTCCCTGTCCGCTGAGCTGTCAGACTCCGCTTCCAGGCGTTCAGCTATTCTCTGCCAAGTCTCTTTCCCATCCACACCGTCATATGCCGCTTTCGCTCTGCCCCTCAGCAACATGACAAGCATCCCGACCATCGCTCCTGGGTCTCGGATACCCACCAGCTCCATGATCAACTCGAAGTCTCTGAGGAAGACCTTGATATCTGTATCCTCTAACACTCAAGACCACAGAATCTTCATCACGTCCAGAAGCAGTGGCAACGATTGTAGAACATGACAAGATGGCGACAAATATTAGTGATAGAAATGCATTTCAGAATAATAAGCTTCAAATCAGCTTTCTCGATGACTGGAAATCATTGTTCAATATTTTGTCTTTCGGTGACTAACTCAGGAAGACAAGAATGGTGGCCAGTAGTAAATTGAGTGCATGTGAAAACTACATTTTTGTAGAGAATTTTACAAACTGAAATCAGCTAATATATATTATGTGCAATACTTGTTGTAATAATAACCATCATCACGACTGAGGTGACTACGCAATGTGGTATTTAGTGGTGGATTGTCCGGGGCTTATTTAGGTATTGACCATCAGAAAACATTAAGCCGATTGAATCTTTTCCGTCTGTCGTAAACATCTTGTTAGTTTTCAAGGTCTGTATAAGAGTACAATCTAACCTTATGAAAATACTCAACGTATTCGCATACATTTCAAAGGAAAAATTATCTGGTAAACATTGGTGCTTAATGAAGTAGTACGAACGTGATTACGGAAGAATCCATGCTTGAATATACATATACAACTCCTGGTGTTCGCATTGCATCTCATCCAATCTCGAGAATAACGTTGATGATCTATATGGTCTTCAAAAGTCACATTATTGATGACAGCGAATATGAATGTGATTTCTCCTCTTCACTGGTTTACATTATCATTTAGGGCATTGAGATTAACTCTAAGATGTCTATCTCAGTGATGAGAATTTCACAGTCATACGACATTATATCATGGCTGTGCACGCTCGAAAATAAACTTTGATAATTTCGCTGCAACTGGAGTATCCATAATACAGTCGAAACCCTACTCACTCGCTTCCCAATTTTGATTTCTAGATTATCTTGTATTCTTATAGGGCATTATCAACTTTTGTCCAGTGTTTTTTATTTTATTTATTATCAATAAATGGAAGATTACATCTTGTACTTGATGATCCACTGGTTCACCTTTTTCTCTTCTTTTCCAAATTCTCGGGATGGCCGAATGAACTACCACCATTAAACTGACTCACTGTCTTCTATTCACTCACTTGCAACCAGCGGCAAGCTGGACGAAAACCTAGTGAAAGCCGCTTTTTGTATGTCAATCTACCAGAATAACCATACTTAAATAGACTTTCCGATAAGTCATCTTCACACAGCAGTCTCTGACTTGATGATATTGTATTATTCTTGTTGGTGGTTTATGTGAGTACTAGGTCTCTATAAATGTCTCCCTACAATTTAAGATTTCCTCCATTCTAGACAGATTATACCTTTCACAAAGCTTCACTTCTTTACTTATTGAAGACGTATTCATGGTGTTATTTGCCGACTGATTAGTGTTCTTAAAAGTAATATAGTACAACTCTGCTTGTGCATGTGTTTCCTGAACCGGATTTTTACACAGTGATAGACATAAATGCTCCCAGCAACCTACTTTCGGTCCAGTTAGACTTCATTATGCATAAAAAGAAAATCCATTTAAACCCTAATGAAGATAATATCAACGATGATGCCGATTACAAAACGCTTTTATCTGAAATGATGAGGCATATTTTCGTCTGTAATAGTCTTTTTTGCGAAAGTATGAACAAGACCCTTCAATTCATATAAGGGTAATACGTTGATACTGCAATGAATTGAAATTTCAGTTTGGTTTGCTCAAAGTGTTTATCACAAAGGAAAACTATATTGTTCACTGGACTCAACCATAAACAACTAATTGTCGATCAGCAAGCATAGTACTACCCCTCCGCCTACTGTGTATAAATGCGAAGATAGTGCAAGTGCAACCAACAGGTTATTTGATGTTTTAAACAGCTTACGTAAACAGTTTTCTGGACACTGAGTTATTATTACATTCAGGATCTGACTGACTCAGCTAACATAACCTAAACATATTAGAATGTTGAATGTTTATCCAGTTCTTCTGTTTTCCTTTTGACTTACTTCTTCCTGTTTCTGGTCAACGCAAAATAATAAGCAACATCGTATCACTTGTCCACGTAATGAACTGGTATCTGCAGATACCTCTTGCTTCTCCCTGCTTTTTCAGCATGTGTTTGATTCTACATCCAAGGTAGGTGAAGTAGTACTTGAGAAGATCGACTATCATCGAAAACCTGGGTGGCTTTAAAGGTCACCCTGGCAATTGCTGCAATAACCAATCAGGTTTCGGCATCAAGACTAGGAAGGTAGTTTATCATAAAATATAGAAGCCTAATTGCTTATTCCAGCAGTTGCAAGGGCAGCCTTTAAAGTTGCCCGGAAACCTTGGTAACATAATTTAATACCAGCCGACAATAAATACTTCGACAAAATAGGAAGACGTAATTTATCTAGTGATAATATATTCTGTATTCTCACACTACATTTCCAACAAGGGATAGACGAGTTTCAAAAATTGGTTGATGCTACAAAGGATAATATCATTTGACTATTATATTAGATTACATCATACCATATCATACTATATTACATCGTATTATATCATACATATGACACTAAATTATGTTATATTGTTCTACATAATGTTAAACATATAATAATTATACATTATATTATGTGACATATCATATCGCATTAAATATTTCCCTCGGAAACTTTAATTGTGAAACGCATGACAGTGACGTCCATAATGTGCACTTAACCCATATGGAAGTTATTTCCTTTACTGTCTAACCATGCAGCCAACTACACAAAGGTGCTATGCAAATGAATAGTGAAGATCAGCTGAAAGTTCTCGGTAATAAGTAACATGTAAATACACATTATCCAGCTCTACTGAACAAACCTCTACTCACATAAAACAGTTCAGCATGGCGAAATAACGCCCGACTTGCGACAGCATGACAATTTGAAAGCTGTTTTGACCAGAAATCTGGCCAACAACAACCGATGGTTTCCCTGTGACTTATTCACCGATCCATCTAAAAACTAACCTTCCACTTCTTAATAGAATCGTAAAATTCCAAGAGATAACGGTTGCCACATGTGACAAATTGCATTTCCTGTCCTATAATAAATCCTACCATTTCGTCAAGATTTATCAATTCATTTCGTTGCCTCCCTTAATACTGATCGGAATGATTCGGATCTTATAAATACATTCATGACCTTGTAAAATGAAACAATCGTAAGCAGAGAAGTAATCTTAAACAGCGTAATGAGAAGACGAAGATTATCTGAAACATGTGATGTATTAGCGCTATGCATTTCGAACAATCTGATCACACATGGACTTGTCGAACTATTTATATGAAAATTTACGAAAAGGTCAATGAAGTTAGTGGGAAACATAGGAATAGGAAGGGATAGAAAAGGAAAACCTTATTCTTGGTATGAAAATTAAAATCAATACTACCAAGGTAGGTTCAACATGAGTACAAATTGTTTTTGTATACATAAAGGGGGTTTAAATTTACGGATGGCAAGAGCTTCAATAAATTTAAGCACTCGGCCCTGACCACTTTTATGTAGTACTTTAAAGGCTGTTTTCATGTCTATCCTATGGTTAGTTTCTAGTATATGTTTAGCGATAGACGAAGATGGATGTTTGTCACCTGCACTTATCGGATCTGTTGAGGTCATTTGTTTTTGTAGCCACTTAGGTACATGTACAGCCTTCCTTAACTGCATATCACGATTACTCCTCCCTATATATGTGTGTCCACACATACATGTAAATTGATAAACACAGTGGGATGTGATGTAATCGTTTATATGTTGTTTCGGTGTGTGCTGTAACATGGACTTGGTCTTCTCTACAATGATGACCTTAGCTGCATAATACGTTTTACAGATGGCCGATCTAAGTCTTTTCCTCACAACAAAGCTATGTGAATCACCTCTAAATGGTAATGAGATGTAGACATTTTTCTTAGCAACGGAACACTGTATACTTTTCAATGGTACATAACTTTTGCACCGGTCGATAAATCTCAACGGGTATCCATTCTGTATCAGAGTTGTCGTCAGTAAGTTGGCTTCTTCCTCCCTGGTGTTATCGGTGCAGATACGGTTTATCCTATTGAATAAGCATCTGACTAAACCACGTTTGTACTGGACAGGACAATAGCTATGGAAATTAAGATATTGCCCTGTCCATGTAGGTTTCCTATAGATCGACCTCCTGATCGAGCCAACCTCCCGTCGACTGAGCAATACGTCTAGGAACGGTAGCTGGTTGTAATCTGGTTGTAAGCTGGAAGTAATCATTCAAAAACACTGATCCACGGCATCCTTCCAATTACCTCCAGTCTACTAGCATAATACATAACACATGGCTTAATGATAAGTAAATTTAATTTAGTAAACAGACTAAAATGGAATTTAATAACTGCTCTTTGGGTTGCCATCGTATGCCTTTTCAATAGTTCTGGTCATACTGCAACTACGCCCACATAATCAGTCACGGTGTAACCGATGCACATGACAACCTACATCACATTCCATCTGCACATGATTAAAACCACAAGTCAATGTAATACATGCGTCATCATCAGACCAGGCTCAGCTTAACTAGGTTCAGAGACAAACACATGCAGTCAAGTGTACGACCATAGACCAAAAAATCTCAAGGCTGTTTCTCGTTTGGTTGATTAAACTAGGCTGAGTTTCATTTTCAATACCATGACATATCACAATCAACCAATGAGAATAGGAAAGGGGGTAGGAAGAACAATCTGTTATTGTGATTCGTTCTATTTGCATGTTGTGGTGACTTTTCAAGGGCGAATGAAGTAGTTGGATTAGACGAGATATTTGAATTACAGATACAAGGAGGCAAAGTAGACGAGCACTGCTTCAAGATGCGTGAGATTGTGCACATTCAGGCTGGACAGTGTGGTAATCAAATAGGTGCCAAAGTGAGTTGGGGTACTGGATGTCGTCAGATTCGGTGACATTCACAATACTGCCTTTATACTCCGCTTAATTATTCCATTTAATTTCTAGTTCTGGGAAGTAATATCAGATGAGCATGGAATTGATCCTACAGGGGCGTACCATGGTGATTCGGATCTGCAACTTGAGCGCATCAACGTTTACTACAATGAGGCTAGTGGAGGGAAGTATGTGCCTCGGGCTGTCTTAGTTGATCTGGAGCCTGGCACTATGGACAGCGTTCGTGCGGGACCATTCGGACAACTTTTCCGCCCCGACAACTTCGTTTTCGGTCAAAGTGGAGCAGGAAACAATTGGGCTAAAGGTCACTATACGGAAGGTGCTGAGCTTGTTGATTCTGTTCTGGATGTTGTGAGGAAAGAAGCTGAGTCGTGTGACTGTCTTCAAGGTTTCCAACTTACACATTCACTTGGTGGTGGGACTGGTTCAGGCATGGGTACGCTGTTGATATCCAAGATTCGTGAAGAATATCCTGATCGTATAATGAATACATTTTCTGTCGTTCCATCACCCAAGGTGAGTAAATATTTAGTTGACAGCCTACTAGTTTGTTGGTATCAAGTAGTTTTCTAGCCGGATTTCTGCAATTTCGTATCCTAATCTCTTTGTTATAAGTAAATTTGTAATGGATGTCTACACACAGTGATGTTGTCTAGCGAAACAGATCACTATGTATGTGAATTCTATCCGTAGATGTGTAAACGAATAATTCCAACAAATGTTGTGATCAGGGGAAGTAATTTCGCTCGGAGTATTACCGATACTGAATAATATTGTGTGTAAACATTGATTGGAAGCAAATTTATAATAAATTGACTCTCTGCACGATGCATGAATTCGTCATGGATATAAGTTCTAATCTCCACTGGTTGAGGTATTGTTGTCAGCCGATCTGTAATGTCCGCTAACTTGCACGTGTTTTTTCTAAAATGAATAGTGAAGGTCGAACCTTGCCATTGAGTTGAACCCGTGAGTTTTATTTCCTTCTCAACTACCACAAACGTTTACAGTCCTGATAATCAAGTCGAAGTGAAATAATTATTCCATTCTTCATGTATTGTAGGTGTCAGATACCGTTGTTGAACCGTACAATGCTACACTCTCCGTCCATCAACTCGTTGAAAATACTGATGAGACCTTCTGCATTGACAATGAAGCACTCTATGATATATGCTTCAGGACCTTGAAGCTTACGACTCCTACATACGGTGACTTGAACCACTTGGTTAGTGCAACGATGTCTGGAGTGACAACGTGTTTGAGATTCCCTGGTCAGTTGAATGCAGATCTGCGTAAACTGGCGGTGAACATGGTTCCATTCCCACGTCTTCATTTCTTCATGCCTGGTTTCGCGCCACTCACTAGTCGTGGGAGCCAGCAGTACCGTTCATTAACTGTACCTGAACTCACTCAGCAAATGTTTGATGCTAAGAATATGATGGCTGCTTGTGATCCTCGACATGGACGTTATTTGACTGTGGCTGCCATATTCCGTGGTCGTATGTCGATGAGGGAAGTAGACGAACAGATGCTGAATGTGCAGAATAAGAATTCGAGCTACTTCGTTGAGTGGATTCCGAATAATGTGAAGACAGCCGTTTGTGACATTCCACCACGTGGATTGAAGATGTCTGTGACGTTCATTGGTAATAGCACGGCTATTCAAGAGTTGTTCAAGCGTGTTTCTGAGCAGTTCACTGCCATGTTTCGTCGTAAAGCATTTTTGCACTGGTACACAGGTGAAGGTATGGACGAGATGGAATTTACTGAGGCTGAGTCGAATATGAATGATCTGGTGAGTGAATATCAACAATACCAAGATGCGACAGCTGAAGAAGAAGAGGAGTTCGATGAGGATGTTGAAGATGTATAGACTGAACTTGTTGCTTGTCTTTTCATTATACGTTGATATATTTGTGGAATATACTCAGCTTAGAATACCTTCATTTCGTTTTTCCCTTGCGTTACTCTGTACTAAGGTGTTCAGTCATATAGAACCAGTCAACTGCTAAGTGTGATTATGTCGAGATTAATATTCTTACTGATTGTTTGTCCTGACAGGGCCTTATGACATTGACTACCAATTGCATTGATTCCATGTTTGAATGACTGTAACTCGAAGTTTATTCGCATTGTGTAGTGACTGATCGTGGTAGGGGTGATTTCGTATCTATTGGGCGAGTTTTTTCGTTCCTATTCTATCCTGAGACGCTCGCAAGTGCAGTGTGTGTAGTGCAGTGTCTGAGAGACGTTCATGAATGAAAGGTGGGGAAGAGAGGAAAGTCGGTCTGAAGTATTGGGTGTGGGTGCTGAGTGCAGGATACTATTTAGAATGAAGATAAAGTGTGTGTTCATCTGCTCCATTGACGTAGATTCTGATTGATATCACCTGGATTTTCCAGGCATTGGTTTATGTTGTCTCGTGGACCCCATCGTGGTAGTCTGCATATCCCAGCATAGGTCAAAACAAGGTCGGGGGTTTATGGGTTGAAGCTCTGTTATAGTGTGGCCGTCCGTAACCTCTTTCCTGTCTGAACCTGTTTCAGCGGGCGTTGCACGACGAGGCAGACTATGACTAGTCATCGTAGTACACGTTCTAGCCATCTCAGTAGATACACATTTCAAACCGTATCAACTGACTTTCCTCTCCTCTTTATGACTTTAAAGCCGACTTAACGTTTTGACACCATGGCAGGTGCTTAAGCTACTGAGGCAGCTACGGTCGAGCGCGGAAATCGTCCTCATGACCTGCAGACTTAGTGGGCATATTTCACAGCAGAACTGCAGCACTGTACACTTGACCCTTAATAGGCAACCAGATATCGCGGCTGCGCCACGGATGGTGTAAGTTGGCAATAACCAATCGGGCATTTTGTGCGCGTGGAGGTTTTGTCAGCCACTTATGAATGTACCATGGCTGGTATGACTTCGCAGGTTAGTGGTGTGATCAATACACTCAGCCGCTTTTTGCGCTACTGTTATCTTGAGAGCCGCTATGGCGCAGTTATTGAGCAACACTACGCATTCGGGTGGCGAGAATCTCGTCGTGAGCATTCTGAAATTGCCACTCGAGCCGCTCAGAGGTCGCAACATCTTAAACCAATAGGACTGTGTCATCTGCGTATTCTTAATCTGCTAAGGTTTCTCGTGTGATTATATCCATGCCTATGGTGTTAGATGACGAGAGGGAGACGTGCACTAGGACGTCTTTGATAAGGTTGGGTATGAATGGTGGGAATGCTTGACTGACACCATTCAATGTATTCAGCTCATGTGATCACTCACCGCTGACTGAGACGCGTAACGGTGTTCACGTAGATAGCCTGGAACAGAGTGGTGCACTTATTATGTACCCGTCTGTGTGAGAGACTGTTATATGACCTGTCGATGGAGTCGAACGCCGCCTTCAGGTCGAGAAATACAACCAGTGTTGGGCATCGGTAGTCATGCCAATGTTCCCAGGACTGAGGGAAGTGTGAATATCTGGTCGATATACCTAGGGGCATGTCTGGAACCTGCCCAGTTTTCTCAGGCATGCCTTTCCCGAGCTCCACTCAGACTTCTAATTATCATAGAGCACAGAATCTTAGACAGTATATTCATCAGGCTGCTTCCCTTGTAGTTATCACAGGAGGACTCACACTACCTGAAGACTAGGAAAGTCGGTGATTGAGATGGGTCGGGGGGAACATAGCTTACTCCCGCACACTAGTCAACACTTAACTTGACTGAAAATCCATGCTACCATCTTTAAATGCCTCTGAGGCTAGTGCATCGGGTCTGCTGCTGTTTCCCGTTTTAGGTTATCTACAGCTTTCTTGACTTCTGCAAGTCTTGTGGGTTTCATCTCGATGTTCCATTCTGTGTTCTGTGTGAATATTTTACCTAGTTGTATAGCTTTTACAATGTCGTTTGTTCATGTGCAAAGTGTTGTCTTCACTTTCCAGGCGGAAAGTAAGTACAGCTATTCAGGAAGAATAATGGGCACAGATCACAGCGAGTAAGTTGAGGCCTTAAGATTGCAGCAAAAAGGGTTTATGATTACAGTTCTGATTTCATGCATACCGAGCACGAAAAACAGACATACCATACTCTGTAATACCTGGGGATAATTTTTTACCTTACTCGAATAACTGCACACTATCGAAGCAAAATATTGGCAAATTTCACTTTACTGGGAGAACACTTGAGTGTAAGACGATCAGTAGGTTACAAAAATTGGTTTAGATTAGGAATGGAGATTCGTTTAATCAGTTTGTCTATCTGCTCTTTAACTGCTGTGTTCACGCCTATCGTTACTATTTCTAGATTTTTCGTGATCAGATTGCCTCTACACTGTACTATGAATAAATTTTTAATACAAAATTTACATACAATGATAAGTTTTTTTGCTAAGATTGCGAGCGAAATTACTGTTCGTGACCACACCAACAGTTGGAATATTTAAGTTATGTTTATTAACACATTTACCGCTAGGCGTCATACATAGTCTACTCATTGTTCGTTAGTCTGTTTTGTGCAATACAGTGTTTCATATGGTTGACAGCTGTGTTGATTCACCGCCGTTGCATGCATTTTTATAAGCATGGATTCTGTTATTAACCTTTATTTCGACATGTTTTTGTTCGCCTTTAGTGTAGTGGTGCTGTTCCAATCGGTGCTGTGTTTTCGTCCTCATCCATGAGCTGCTGTCGATGAACTTTTTTCAAAATGTTTATACTCTTATCGCTCTGCTGGGTGACCTATGCTTAATCTATCTTTATATCTTAATGTTGTTACTCAGTGGTCTAGTGAATAACGTTTTGGCGTCTGAAGCGATCGGTCACGAGTTTGAGTTCTAGTGAGAACTACATCGCTCACTGAGAGGAAGGTACATCCAGCTGACGAGTTCCAAACAGGACGAAACGCACGTCCTAGATCCCACGGTTTTCAGTGGTTCACAATTTCCAATCGCGCAAAGTCGTAAATTGACAGAACTTTGAAATTTTGAACCACTGGAAACTGACCCGGTGGCTGGATGGTTAACGCGTTCGTCGTGAAACCTGAAGGTCCCGGGTTCGGTCCCTAGCCGGGTCGTGGGTGCGTACTGCTGAGGAGTTCCATACTAAAACGGTTCCCTAACTGATGTCAGTCCATGACGAATACTACGTCTAATTAAAAATCCCCATTCATCTCAAAAATACATTATATAGTCTTTATGTTCGTCCTACATAGCTTATTAGGCAGTCTGCACACAGTATTGTTCTTGTCCAATTTTTTGGCCGGGTCTTTTAGTTGGTTCAACTTATTTTTTATCAGATTCATTAGTTTAAATGCTGTGAAAATACAAGCCTTCCTAAGATTCCTTTCATTGCCTCTGATGTACCTTTTTTGTATCGTAATATCACTTCCTGTAGTTATATTTCTCAATAACTCTTGTTGCTGACTTTTGTTTCTTCTTCTTGACGTTATCTTCTATGAATTGCTCTGGGTATTGATTCTCTGTAATAACATCTTGAACAACATACTCATCTCTTTTCTTTGGTCATCAGGGTGTGCTGTCAGTCTACGTATTCTGTTTGCTTAACCCTGTATTAACCCTCACTTTATTGTAGTTGGGTGGGCTGAGTAGTAATTCAGAAACCTTCCAGAATGCGTTGGTTTTTTTATACAACGTTGTTTTTAAGTGCGAATTACTGTTCTTTTGATTTTATAGTTCAACATTGGCAGTTACCCCAAATCATTCTCTATTTCCATAGTGAATTGTATTGAGTCCACCTTACTTTTAATATGTGAAGAGAATCGGTCGATATCCTTGTTATTTATTTTAATTAGAGTATCATCTCCATCATATTTTAATAGAATATGCGTATGGTTTTGCAATGTTGCTTTCATAAGTCCATAAAGATATCCGCCTCTTTATTCATCGATTGTTCCTTTGTAACAATGTTACTCTACCCTTTGTAACATGATACGTTTATCCCTCTGTGATTCCCATTTGTCTGGTTAACTAACATTATTGTTTCAGGCCGGTGAGGAATAATAATCAGCCAGTGTCATTGAAGGAGAATAGTTTTCACCTGCCCAGCTAGTGCTTTGGATAAATTTCAAGTGAAGTCCAAGTTGCAGAATAAACTTGGCAGAGGATTCACGTGTTATTATCTTATCAGGCAAATTAATACGAATAGATAGAAATATTCAAAATGCAACCAATACAGTCATCTAACATAACATACCCACGATATACGCAAACTTGTTTCTTATGTGGAAGTAGGAATGCCTTAGGAGGTTACTGTGTTTAAACTTTGAAACTTATGAGATGCCTAATTCCTTCCTATCACCATACACTTATACAACAAAAGGGGTTATAAAGCGTATACTAATGAGTAAGAAATTGCATGCAAATATGACAAACACGAAGTACGTGATATTTATAACTTGTTTGTTAGGTAATCAGATTTACAATATCTAAAATATTAGGATAGTGCTTTTAAGAAGAACAGACCGTTGATTAACTATAACGACTTTTCTGAGGTGTATAGTTAAGCGACTGAACATAGATATGATAAACCCTTGTGTTCTTAAAAACACTGCTTTGACGGCCTTCTTTATCAGCAAAGTCCGTCATACGCTTGATCTCAGCGAGCACCATAAATGGTTATTCTATACCATCTCATCTCCTGTTTGATATCATAAGATAAATAAGACGTGGATAACACATCTGACGTTTCACAAAAATTCCATGCTAGTGAATGAAATAATGACCCCATTTTAATTGATTAATTATATGTGCCACACATTGTAGGAGTATTATTTATTGCAATACGTTTCTGACACAATATATTGTCTTTAATCGTATCATCAAGATAATGCTCCAACTTTCAGACATGGTGTACTTAGAATTCACTTATCTTCTTTGTAATATAGGTAGTAGGATTTTGCATATATCCGGAATAGGTGCTGAGTCATTCCTGTTGCACGCGAT